TAATAAGAAACAAAGAACTCCTGTAAGGACTGCTACAGGATTTGATTTGTAGATTTGATTTGTTTTTGATCTGTATTTTTGAAAATTATGTAACTTTTTTATTTTATTTTTAGCATATTGTTTATTGTTTATTATATTATAACTTAGTACTTTTTTAGCATATTGTTTATTGTTTATTATATTATAACTTAGTACTTTTTTAACGCATTTCAGATATGCTACACTAAGCTGTCTGTGGCTCTTTCCTGCTGTAACGCTGCAAATTTCCCCTCTGTGGGACTAATAAAGGGATTCTGATTCTGATAAGGAGAATTAAAAATAATACACAGGCCTACTTTAAAATAAATTAAACAGAGCACTTGGGGAGTCCTCTGCACATTTGAAGGGAAAACAAATATTATTAAAATGGGCCCACTTTGAAATAAATAAAACATATAGCTGCACCCTAAAAAGAGTTAAAGGTAGGGTAGGTAAGAATGGAGAAATCAGCTCAAGTGCGCTAGAATTTGAAAATACACAACCGGAAAAATAGGCCTCTTCCTTCAGACTTTCTTACAGAGTCCCTCCTCCAACACACACGAACGCGCATCATCAATGAGACCACGAGATAAGTTTGTGCACAGATGGAAGGCTGACAGGCAGGTAGGCCATCCAGTTATTTTAGCCGGGTCGGCTAAAATGATTGGTCGTGCTTTTTACAGCGCTACGGCTTCCAGAGATATATTTTTGTATGTATTTATTGTCAAAGCATTTAATATATTCATTGCTATCGGGACGTTAAGAGCATTCCATGGAATATAACAAAAAGTGTTTTCTGAAATAAATTACATACCCCATTGAATTATGACTGAAGATCTTCAGCTGTCTTCCTCTCCCGTGTTGTTCCTCGACGATAAGTAAAGGCTGCAGCACCTTTGACAACTTCTCTCTACATATCAAACATACCGGTAAACCAGCATCGTTTGCTGTGAAAGCATATAACTCTGTCCACGCAGAATTAAATCCTGTGTTCCTCCGGTACTTTTCTTTGATTTAACCATAGTTCGCTCATCGAGCTGGGGGTCAGGTTATTCACCCGCAGGAAAAGGCGCTGGCGCGGGACCGCAGCAGGATGTGACGCATATTTTAGTTGACCTAATTAAAACCGTTTTTTATTTATGTGTCACAGTATCACCTCAAAATACAAGATACGAAACATTTTCAACCATGCAACAAAATATAAATAGTCCTACAAATACTTTTATTTGATTTCCTTCTTATTTTTGTCTAATTCTATGGTCTAAGCTCAAGGGAGCCAGAGCAGAGGGCTTAAAGGGCCGCATGCGGCCCGAGGGCCGCGGGTTGCCGACCCCTGGGCTAGGGATTGCATCTTTGCCTTTTTGCAGATGACGTGGTTCTGTTGGCGTCATCGGTCTGCAACCTTCAGCAGTCATTGGACTCATTGGATGGTCTGTACCATGGTGACTAAGAGAGCACTGAGCCAGAAGGCAACGCTCTCGATGTACCAATCCTCACCTATGTTCATGAAAGATGGGTCATGACCAAAATAACGAGATCGCAAATACTAGCAGCCGAAATGGGTTTTCTCCGGAGGGTGGCTAGCATCTGCCTTAGTGATAAGGGGAGAAGTTCAGTCATCCTGGAGCGACTCAGAGTAGAGCTGCTGCTCCCTTGCATAGAAAGGAGCCAGTAGAGGTCATTTAGGCACCTAATAAGGATGCCACTTGGCCTTTTCCCTAGGGAGGTGTTCCAGGCACTTCCAGCTGGGAAGAGACTGAGGGTCAGACCCAGGACCAGGTGGAGGGATTATATCTCCATGCTAGTCTGGGAGCGCTTTGGAAACCCCCAGTCAGTTCGTGAATGTGGCCAGGGAAAGGGACGTTGAGGGCTCTCTGCTGGAACTGCTTCCCCCGCATCCCGACTCCGTATAAGCGGGGGAAAATGGATGGCTGGACAGAATTAGTTTTCTCGTAAATGTGTGACTTTTTGATACTTATTTATTGAAAATGTACAACTTTTATCTTGGGAATTATTTTTGCTGAATATTACCCCCTGCTCCCGGCTCCTTAATTCTTTTTTTCTTTATAAACAATGACCATAACATTTCTTTTTTAAATGTTATAATGCAAAAAAGTGACTACTGTTCTGATTTTTTGCCTGATCCATCCCTAGAAGATTAGAAGGGTCTGTTGCCAGCTGGATTTATGTGATATTCAGAATTGTAGACTGAGGTCTCTGAAGGACTGGCACTATGCTGAACACCACAGTGCTTCCATCTTCCAACAGGTGAACACTTCAATCGTACCATGACATTCATATTTCAGCTAAAAACCCTAATTGTTGGATTGAAAACCTTCATATTTATTTTTTTTCTAAATGTGTAGGTACTGCAGTTAGCCTCCGAGGATTACTGCTGCTTGGACACCTTCAGAGGAAGTCATAACAACATCCTGTACGTTTTCTGTCACAATCCAATGAGCCCTTATCGTCAGTGCAAGGAGTTCTGGGATGTAGCCCTTCACACTGATGTCAAGTTCAGGTCAGAATGCAAGGTCACATTTTCACACGGTGTTTGGTTGTTATTGGAATATTCATAATTATTTTTTTCTTCTTTTTACGTGAGGAAGAACACAAATAAATTCCCTTAATCAGCGACATTAGATTATACAGGAACAACATTTAGAAAATTGATCATATGTGGAGTGTTGTATATATTTAAATATCATTGTTACCTTCTGATAGGAAGTACCTGGAGCATGTGGCAGAAAGCATTTCCGATTGGACAAAAGAGGAAGAATTAAAGAGAGAGACAATGCAACTCAGAAATGTCAGCCCTGCTCAGGATCTGAGAGGTACCGAAGCTTGTCAACATAAAGCTTTGGTAACTATGCATTACCACCATACTAATATACTGATGGTTTTCTTCCTGGACCAGATGAAAAGTCGCCAGATTCTGCAGAGAGGGAGGACACACTGGAGCCGGTCATCCGAACAGGCTCTCTAAAAGTTGGTATACAGAAACACATTCACTATAACAGTCTGCTCTGTACTGTCTTTTTTAATAAATGTTGTAACTTTTTTAGATAGACAAAATAGGATAGCTTAACAGTCGTCCAGCCTGCTTGATGTAAAATAATTGATTAATCATTCTGGGAGATGTGTTGCAATATCCCACATTATCTTTAAAGTTAAGATCTAAATCTGCGGAGATTTGTATCATCAGATAGGTACTAGGGCTGTAACGGTTCACAAACATTTCGGTTCGGTACGTACCTCGGTTTTTAGGTCACGGTTCGGTTCGCTACGTTTTCGGTACAGCAGAAAAAATTATCACAAAACATAAAATATTTTCTTTTTTTTTTAAATTATTATTAAACTGTGAATAATGTATTCACTCAAATAAATACAAAATATAATAAAATAAACATTAAGGTGCAGCATTTCGATGAACTGAAATAATCTATTTGAACTGTAGCCTACTGTACTAGTACTCAGAAAACATAAACTATTAGTTTTGGATTTTTAATTATTATTAAACTGTGAATATTTACTCAAATAAATACAAAATATAATGCCTTTTCAAATGAGTGTGCAAGTTTGATGTATTGCCAGCCGCGTAACCAATTTTAGTTGAACAATGCCAACAAACAGCTTTGGTTCGGAACACCTGTCTTTGTCAGTCATCCTTGTACGTAACTGCGAAACAAAAATGTTCCCAAACCGGAGACTTCAATGATGCTGGAGGATTTTCGAGCTCAACTTTATCTGCGTTCGCCATTTCGACAGTTCCTCAAATTACTGACTAAATTTGAACGCATCCCTGTGACCAGCTCTCATAGTATGCCTCTCGTCCAATTAAATGACTTGGTCGCTCTATGACGCGTTGAACCCAATGTGAGCAAATTACTCTGAATGCTGCGACGCAGCACCTGAAATTACTTCCAAGAAGTTGTTCACGTTCTCAATTTTTTACGTTTAACGTTATATTCGTTGGGTACAGGGCCCGTACCGATAATTCGGTACGTGTACCGTTACACCCCTAGTGTTCATACAGTTT